TCTAATGATCCGTCACTTTGAAGGATTAACTACTATTCCTTCAAGACGTGGCCCAAGGGACAAGCGGTGAAGACTGGTTATCCTAGGTGGAAAGTCCCCTGCCATGATCGCCCCTTGTGTTTAAATTAATATGTGCGTTTTCTCCGGAAAGAAGAAAGGAATCTACTGCAAAAGCTTTCGAGGTCGTTGCCGATTCATCTGATCCGTAGTGCTGGGATAAACCCCTAGTCCCGAAGCTCAGGCTATGAACCCTCCCTTGATAGCAGCAGCCTGACTTTAATACGATATGTGGCGTATTTAGCCGCCATCTCCTCCCTGAGTAATTTTTAGATTCTTTTCTTTTACTTTTTAAGCTTCATTAATGGCCTCGATTTAACTATCAATAGTTTTTTAATACTTTGATTAAGATTCACTTCATTTTACTCAATTTATTTCAAAACATTTTTACAAGACCACGAAGAATACAAACCAGAGTCTTGCCTGCCATACTCTCTTAGGTTGTTTGCTCGTCTGATCAGTGTGGTTCACGAACGCCTGCATCACTGGACATCCTCCTCTATTTTTTAGATAAGTATTTTTTCATTGTTTGCTAAGCCCAGTTTAGCATGTGATAATGATTGCAACTTTTTTAAGAAATATACGACTGAGGATTCTCATGTTTTTCCTTTGAATGTTTTGGTTTCCGTTTTATTCTAATTTCGTTCTTTTGCTTCTTATTTTTATTTCTTTTCAATTTATTTTAAAGAGTAAATGGCATCCTGTCGGGTCCAGATTTTAGCAAGACCGTCGTTGAGGACCCTACCACGTAAAAGGTGGCAGACGCTGTTGGGATCTGCAATTGCATGCAGTTAGCATACTAGAACTTAAATAGAGACTAAGGGTTTTACTACTCTTTTACTAATGTTTTGCTCATTAATGAGGTTTTTTTTTCTTTTATCTTGATGTTCGTTTCTTCCTGCTTGATTAGTAATGCGTTTGATTTTTTGTATTGTGCAGTGAATTTTAGTGCTTTTCCTTTTAATTACTAAAATTATTTTTTTCTAGCAATATAAGTGGTTTTTTATTTTCCGTGTTTTAAGTGTTTTTTACATTTGATAAGGTTTTTTTTCTTTTTAATGGGGCTTAATGACTTGCTTATGTGTACCGAATACGAGTTTGTCAACACTTTAACCTATGTTAAAGAATGTGCCAGTAATCGTCCATTTCCTAGTTAAAGCACTACAGTGTTTGGTGGCGCGTGAGAATTTAAATGGAACCCGATAACAGTGCTTTGTGTCTAAATGTCGTTCATATGTGGTGACGTGTTTGTTTCATAATTACAAGTACGCGGTGTCAGTGTTGTTTGGGCCCATCGTGTGGTGCATTCTCTGAGCGCGCACATAACGGATATGCTGTATTTGTTAGAAGTGTTCTGTGCTTAATTCAGATTTGTACTACGTATACAACTGAGCGTGCTGACGGTAGTTTCGTACCCACTACCTTTAAAGCTGTACGATGTATACCTCATTGTATTGCTGTACGTAATTAGTGTGAAGTCCCATTCGATGTATTACATTGAAAGTACGTTGCGTGTGAGTTGACTAGTAGTCGTGCCCGTGCTGTGTAGCCATGCTTTGAAATTATGCTTTGCCGTAGTGTACTTATTTACGTGCATTCAATGTTGATAACCATATCTTCTTACTGTCTACGTTCTTAATGTGAATGTACCCTGTGCGTGGTTTGTCCTGCACTTTCTATTTGTCTACCGTCATATACGAGAATGGTTTATGTGCATAGTGGAGATTAATAACTGTGCCTATATGAACAATTGATTACCATTACCGTGATGTGGTGCTTTCATTATAAAGGTACTGGCGGTGAGACGCAATAATCATTTGTTTTACAGTTACAACGTTACTTCGCCGAGATGGTGAGGGGAAGAGACGAATAGCTGGATCCACTGCAGGGAAACAGAATTAAAATTAGTTTATGCTCATTACACGGGGTTGCGAGTTCGTGTGACTTAAACATGGCGAAGAATCAGGAACTCTAATCTCGTCAGAGGAGACTGAGGAAACGTGATCGCCTGAGTCTTTACGCGGAAGAACCAGATGGGAACCAACGCTTGCAACACTGGGCTTAGAGGAACTCGCCAACATGGTTGCCTTGCTGCATTAGTGAAAGGCCCTCTGGACTGGGATGGTTTAGACACAGGACACAAACGTCACGCATACCAGCTGAGCCGTTTAAGCTGGAGTGACCTTTCGATCGCTTCTACATACAATTCCTAATTACGTTTACCAGGTTACTGACAACGTGGTGCTCGCCTCGGGTGCCAACGAGTTGCTTTCAGCAGTACTGTCGTCCCAATGTCAGTCGGGGTAGATGTGGGAAGTAAGGTATAATCTCTTTACAGAAAAACAGGGTTTTTGCACCCATCTCTACACACCCTAAGTAATACATACATTTTATTCGTGGGCTACCGTGTAAGCGACGTCGTCCGCCACACCACCGCTCCTCTGCCCCGGACCTGCCAAGAAACTACCAAAGAATCGCGACTACCACATTCAGTAATTATCTGCCTGAGATCGTCCTTTTTAAGTTTGTAAAAATTATTATATTTTGGTATTTGTCAATATTATTTTTGTTCATGAAATGCTTTTTTATTTTTTTAGTAGGAGCTAGCCGTTTTTTTTTTTTTATTTTAATGGTAGTCTTTTAGTTGAAAAGTTTCGTTATATGTTAAGGTATTTTAAGTATAGGTTTAAGGTCTTTACTTGATTAAGTCGTAGTTTTAAGTTCTTTCATTTCTGTTTAACCCATTCGGCGCGGGTAAAAATGAACAAAAAAATGCGGGGAAATGCTGTGTTCATTTTTTTTATCATTTTTTAATGAAAATGTCTCCACACATAGATGGCTCTGCTTTACCGGATTTCATTTTTGTGTGCCCCTAGAAAATGATTTTTACTAGTATATGATATCGATGGTTATTTCTATTAATAAACATGATAATTACATAATGTAATAAACATAGTAACAGAAAATAAAAATAAAGCAATAATTTCGTAAATTAAAGGAAAAGGGTAAACAGACGAGACAGGCACGTACAAGTGCAAGTGGAGCTATCTATGTTTGAAACAATCAAACAAGTAAACTCAAGAGTGGGCCGTCACCTATACGTGACGCCCCCGGCGCGAATGGGTTAAGATATTTTCGAGTCTTAGTTTTAAGTTTTTTTTTTTCTTATTGTTTTAATTCTTTTATGTTATTTTTGAAGGAGATTCATTTAGGTGGCCCACCTTATCCTGTATATTCCCTGAAAATTTGCAATCGTACTCGCATGCCGTCTCTTGTAAATGATGGATAACTAATAATCCTTTCTCCTTTCAGATAAGATTTTTGTGCTTGTGAACTTCTAATTTGTTGACAGTTCCTCAATTTCGCCTCGACCTGAGAGCCCCAGGCACAGTCAGCACCTACTTGACGTCAAGGTCGCCAGTGGAGAGGTCGGTATCACGCACGACGACCTGGCCCGCCACCGGGTAGGACTCTCGCTCAGTTGCGCTGGCCACTCGGTGGACGAGGGAGAGGTTGAGTGGACGTGAATATACCCCCATTTAGTGACGGAGCTCAGACTCGGACAGTTCCCCTCCCCAGCAGCCCAGGCTCTACCGATTTGTGCGTGTTAGGCAGCCATCTGTGCGGATTTCCTCCCTGGAGCATTTTACTTTGCTATATCTTTATATTTTACTTTGAAAACTTTCTTTTATGCCTCGATTTATTTACAGTGTTTGAAGTGTGAATAAAGTTCACTTTTATCTAATTAATTTATTTAATAAAAGCATCTTTACGACAAGACACACGAAGAGATATAAAACCATAGTCGTGTCGCCAAACTCCTTCGCTTGTTTGCTGTATGATCAGTTGCGGTCCACGGAGCGGCCTGGCCTTAATGGAGCCCTTGGTGTTTTTTCAACTTGAGAATAAAAATATATGGAAAGAATCAAAATACAATAAAAATTACATAGGTAAAAGGTCTCCGACTCGTGACGAGTGGGATGCTCTGTAATAACACGCCTTTACCAAATCGCTTAAACGGCCACCGTGTTCGAAAGTCATTACTCTGCAAGACCCGCGTGTAGTCAGGTGAATAATAGAGGAAACTTTATGTCCATGTCTGCAAAGCGAGAGTTGGAAGGGAGAGCTGGCCGACAAAAGAGCCCCAAACTCTCCGCTCGCCCAGCGGAGAGAAGGGGCGTCCGACACTCGGAAGCTGAAACTGAAACTGAAATCGTAGATAGAATTCAGGTTAGCAAAAGGGAAGAGTACTCTACATGCAGGGAGCTCGTAAAAATGTCTGCGTCAACCTGAAGAATAAGGTGAGTCGACGCTGAAATGTTTGGAGGCCTGGTGGCTTCTTGGAACCAAAGCTCGACAGAGCACGGGGAATCGAGGGAGCGGAAAACAGGACGAGAAGAGGGACAAACTCAATGCCCTTGCTGAGCAGGAATGGCAGCGCAGGGCAGAGTTGTCATTTAGCGTTACTTTATCGCAGCACTAAGATTTTATCGTGTCACCGCGAAATGGTCATTTGGTGTTTCTATAGTTTTGGAAGGCCGATGTAAGCCGTAGGAGAATAATACTATACAGGGGAATCCTTATATAACATAAAGAATTTCCAAGCACTCGCTACATTCATTCAACATGAACATTCAGAGAACTTTTGGTCTTCTGAAGTGCAAATTCTCACAAACTCATTTTCTACGTTGTGATAGACATACCATATATATATATATATATATTATATATATATAATATATAATATATATATATATATATAATATATTATATATATATTTTATATATATATATATATATATGATTCGTGTCCAATCAGAGGATTACTCCATGAAACTGATTCAATAATCATTACCAGTCTGATACGAGAGCGCCACCTTCAGCTCTATGGCATTGGCTCGTCCACTGAGGAAGATCCCAGCTCATAGCGGTCATCTCCGAGA